CCAAGGAATAAAAGTGCATAACAAAATTTTTATTAAAACTCCATCATATTATTATACTAGCAAGTGCATCTATATATATGCCTCTGAAATAAAAGAAACTAAAATAAGACGATCATGCCCCTAGGGCTTACATAAGATTATACCTTTAAGGGTAAAAATGGAAAATGCATAATTAAAATGAAAATTACAAATAAAAATTTAAGATAACGTAGGATGATCATGGCTGTCGATCTTCAGCTCCTCGGATATGCATGGACGGTTGGATGTTCGCATCAATAAAGGTTGCAAAACTATGACTAGCTCAAATGGATCTAATATTGAATGAATAATTTAAATCATTTAGGAATTGGTTTAGGGATGGATAAATGGTAAAAAGTGATTATAGAGGGCTAGCTTAAGATATGCGGCTATGATTTAGAGCTTTTGTGATGTTTTAAGAGCTTTAAGGGATCGTGAAAGAAAGATTAATAAAACTAGGTGATTGTGGACTAGTCTTAGCTAAAAGACTTAAGGAAGGCTTTAAAATTATTTGATGGCTTTGGGTGATGATGCCTAGTAAAAATTAATTAGTTGGCGGTGGAATCCAAATGTACAAGATAAGAATAAAAATAAAAAGATTTGTTATAAAAATTGGTTTAATTGTAAAAACTTGAATAATTAGAAAAGATATAAAGAGGCATGTAAGGAATCTAAGAAAGCAATATGCGATACAAAGACCTTAGCTTTTAGTGTTTTATATAATAGATTAGATTGGAGGAAGAAAGATATATGTATAAGTTAGCCAAACAAAGAGATAGGAGTAGTAAGGTTTAGTTCAAGTGAAGTGTATTAAGGATGAAGATCAAAAAATACTTTTCTTAGAAGATGATATTCAACAAAGGTGGATGAGATATTTTGCTAAACTTTTTAATGAAGACTGTGAAAAGACGATTGACTGTAATGACCTTAGCACCCTAAATGAAAATAAAGGTTTCTGTTTTTATCGGCGTATTAGTAAAACCAAAGTTAGAAAGGCTTTAAAAAAAAATAAAGGATGGAAAAGCTATTGGACCTGATGATATTCCAATAGAGATGTGGAAATACTTAGGAGATGAAGGAATTTCTTGGCTTACTAAACTTTTTAATACTATTTTGAAGACTAAAAAGATGTCAGATGAGTCGAAAATGAGTGTGTTAGTTCCTATTTTTAAGAATAAAGGTAAAAGTGATGCACAAGATTATGCGAATTATAGAGGAATTAAGTTAATGTGTCATACTTTAAAACTATGGGAGCGGGAGCGAGTTATGGAGCATAGGTTGCGGCGTGATACTAATGTTTCTCAAAATCAATTTAAATTCATGTCGGGTAGGTCGACTATGGAAGCCAGACATTTGTTAAGAGGTATGATGGAGAAATATAGAAAAAATAAGAAGGATCTACATATGATATTTATTGATTTAGAAAAAGCATATGATAAAGTTCCAAGAGAAGTTCTATGGAGTGTTCTTGATAAGAAAGGAGTTAATAACGCTTATATTCAAATCATTAAAGATATGTATGCAAGAGTTATTACTTGTATTCAAACACAAGGTGGTTTGACCAAGTATTTCCCTATTTGGATTGGGTTACATCAAGGATCAGCCTTAAGCCCTTATCTTTTTTGCTTTAGTCATGGATGTTCTCACTAGAAATTTGCAAGAGGATGTACCATGGTGTATGCTTTTTGCTGATGATATTCTTCTTCTTGATAGAACTAGAGAGGGAGTTGAAGGTAAACTTGAATTATGGAGGTCAACCTTAGGGTCTAAAGGTTTTCGCTTGAGTAGATATAAAACGGGATATATGGACTGTAATTTTAGTAGTAATAGTGATACGGTGGAACATGAACTTTTTTTTTATATGATACCTTACTAATTGAATGAAAAAAATGAGATAGATAAAAGAAAGTGATTTGGCTAATACTACTTTATTCCAAACCAAATCTTAGTAATTAGAGTAATTAGTAATTGGTAATCGTTCTTGAACTAAGCAAGGGTTTTTTTCTTTTTTTCATTTGATTTGTTGAATCCATAACTGTTTGAATTGTGTAATCTCCAATTATTGACATTGGTAACCGACCTAAAGAAATTTGATTCTCATTTCATTCGAGGGGATTGTGACTTTGGGCGATCAAGTCATTAATAAGAGTACATGTTTTAGATATCTTGGATCTATTGTTCAAAGTGATGGTGAAATAGATATTATCAGCAGAATTCAAGTTGGATGGTTGAAGTGGAGGAATGCATCGGGCTTGTTGTGTGATAAAAAAGTACCCCTCAAACTTAAGGGAAAATTCTATAAGATGGTGGTGAGGCCTGCAATGCTTTATGGTGTCAAATGTTGGCCATTAAAAGAGAAGCATAATACTAAGTTAAGTGTGGCAGAGATGAGGATGCTCAGGTGGATGAGTGGATTTACCCTTAGAGATACGATATGAAATGAGCATATACGTGAAAAGGTTGGAGTAGCTCCAGTAGAAGATAAGATCAGAGAGAGTCGCCTTAGATGGTTTGGTCACATAAAATAATAGCCTTTCCATGACCCGGTTAAAAAAGTAGAGGTATTAGATTTAACTTAGGTTAAGAAAGGTAGAGGAAGACCTAAAAAGACTTGGTTAGAAAATATTAGAAATGATCTTTTTTTAATAGGTTTAAATGAGAATTTGACTTTTAATATGACACAATGGAGAAAAATGATTCATGTAGCTGACCCCACGTAGTGGGATAAAGGCTTGATGTTGTTGGTGATGATGCCTAGTCTTGGGAGATGGCTAAGGTGAAACAGAAAATGATGGATACATGGATAGGTTTGGCAATAAACTCCAACCAACAAAAGAATAATTCTCAATAATTTTTTCTAACAATCAAAATTGAAATTTTTTTTATATATATCAAAACTATATATAGAGTTTAAAATGACCCTCAGACTACACTTAGTCAAAAAAATGAAAATTTTTGGATGAAAAAAAGACTATTGATGGAAGAAGATGCTAACCATCCATTTAATGGTCAGCCAAAACCTTGTCTAAAGGTGAAAAAAAAAGTGCAAAAATTATAGAATACAAAATTGAAACTTCGAAATTTAAAATATGAAATTTTCTCCATCCTTGGGCACTTATAATTGGACCTGTCCTAATTTGAGCATTTTGATGTGCTTGGGCCCCTATTAGAGTTCTAGTAATTGGGCCTCTCTTAGTTTGATTATTTTGATTATCTTGATGTTCTACATCAATTGGTATTCTATTTTGGGCTCAATCTTAAGCATTGCATTATAGAGATATTAATTAGATAATACAGCAGAAACTATTCTGAATGTCAATTTTAAAGCTTCGGTTATTCTTTTTTCTGAATTTCTCAGTAACGCATTAAAACCACCACAACAGTTTACAAGCTTATCTTAATAATAGTATAGCCATTACCAAAGCAAAGTCAATCAATATGGGACAAATGTAAAATTTCTGATTTGTTTTCAGTTATTGCAAATGTTAACTGGAACTGAACTGTACTAACTATACATGGAGGAATTCTTTTCAAAACTTACTTGCTTGTCCTACTGTAAAAATATGTAAGACTTTTACTATACATTGCGCCAGATTGTGTTGTTCATTCTAACTGTTTAGTAAATATGTATATTCCTGCAAGTGACAGATCTTTAAGTATCTTTTTCTCCATCATCATATGGTGTCAAAATGGCAGCAAAATTTTAAAAACAGCATTTATTTAAATTTAAATTATACAAAACGATGGTTAAAAAAAATTTTTAGCAAATCATACTAAGTTGCCACATGGCTGGCGATTTGCGTGCCACCCAGGCAAGTTGCCCGCCAGATGGCGACCTGCTGGATTTTTTTCCACAGTACTAATGTAAAGAAAATGATAACTATATGTTTTTTTTGCTGCTATTATAAGAGTTTTTTTAATTTCTTTTAGTTTATATTTTGAAATCTAAAAAATATTTTATAACACTAAAAAAATTATTTTTTTTATTTGAAGTTTTGGTTCCTCATCTTCCAAAACATATTAATTGAATTAATTGCAATCAACTAAATCATAAAGTGTAATAACTAGACTTTCATAAAGTCTAGTAACCAGACTTTAAATGCTTGTTCTTCTCAATTAGAATTATGATGGTTCTTTTTCGAAAACACAACTTATTAACTTTATCAAAAGAATTTTATTCATTGATTTTTTGTATGCTATTTAGTTTTGTAGAATATTTTTTAGATTTCAAAATATAAACTAAAAGAAATTAAAAATATGTTAGAATGGTAACAAAAAAATACAAATAGTTATAATTTTTTTCGTATTGTTTACTCCATGGAATAAATTCAATCACATGGGTGGGGGGGAAGGGGCGACTTGCCTATGTGGCACACAAATCAATAGCCACATGGTGACTTGATCTAATTTGCTAAAAAAAATTAACTTCAGTTTTATATAATTTAAATTTAAATAAATGTTGTTTTTAAAATTTCGCCCAAAATGGCATACATTAACTCATTGAGAAAGAGCCTTCAATTCCATCCAAAATGCCATCCATAAATTGTTAACTACAAAAAATATTTTCCTTTTTGTGTGAAATGACAATAGAAGAATTTAAAATACAAAGGACAACTGAAGGACATATATAAAGAAATGTCTTTAGATGGAGGCACCACATAGTTTTGGGTCTGGGTATTTGTCATGATAGTGATTTTGCAGTTTAATTAAGTGTCATTTGGTAATCAACAACAACAAAAATATCAGTCTGCACGGATAACTCTTATAAATACATTTATATGGTCATGTTCTAGACTTCTAGTTTTGGTGCTTAGCAGTAGCATACTTTAAGCTATTTTCATTATACACAAATTCATACTTAAAAACGGAATAGGAATACAGCTGTAGGTTGATTGCTATTGTAAATAGTTTATGTACATTAAACCAAAATGTCCATTAGGGTAAAACTAAGCAAAAGAAAACCAATGCAAGTGGATTCCGACCTTTGGCAAATGGCTGCGAAGCCACTTGAGGCTTCTTTAAAGGTTTCTGCTCACTTCGCCATATCATTCTTGAAACTGATGCCAGCGTTGAAAAAGTAGCAGGCACAACCTTCGATAGAATTGTTCCAACTATAGACCGGCTTCTATCCTCGGAAAGCCTTTTCACCAGAGACAGGAAATCAGAAACATGCCGAGTTCTATGAAACTACAAAAATCATAACAGCAACTTCAGAAGTCCCACTCCGAAAAGATTCCACATTTATCTAAACTAACCTAAAAGCTGAAATTACGGCATCTTCTCCAACAGCAATTGCGCAGTAATAACGTTGACTCGACTGCCCAGCAATAAAAGGAGCTGAATTCAATACCAGCATGGCCTCAGATATGATCCCTTAAAATTATATCTTTAGCAGAAAAAGGATGGCATTTAAGAAAGGAGGAAAGCTCAAGAGAAAATTAACTACTAGTACCAGCTCTATTCAGAAGAAGGGTATATACCTGGAGCTCCATCAATGGAGGAGGCATTATCCCCACAATTGCAGCATCAACGCATGACCCGTACTTGCTTACATTCCACAGCTGGAACGGTATCCTCCGATAGGGACTATCATCGTCGTCCTCACTTGCAAGCCTGTTATTCCACATCTGAGACCCCTCCTCTTCTAACCATCTTCGAAACAGGCTCTGCGCTACAGCATAACCTCATTAAAAGGGAAAAAAACATATAATTTCTTGTATAAAGAAAACATTCATCATAAAAGCATATTCCTTAATGGAAAATGACCTGTATATCCGAGCCATCAAAGCGAGCAACAGCCCCAGATAAAACTACGCAAAGTTCTTCAGAAGAAGTTGCAGCACCAGTAGCATCCAACAGGGATTCACCCCTCTTTTCCCGGAATCTCAACCTTAAAATCCGGCCGGGATGTACGATCTACAAGAAAGTAACACAGATGTGAATGAAAACTAGAGAGCATAACAAAATTAGTAGAAGAAGAAAAATAACATGCCTGTTTGTGGATAAGAACACCGGAGAGAGAGTAAATAAGGAGGGATCCAGAGGAGGTGCCGAGGGCGAGGGCCAATAGATCGGCGAAGGGAAGCCATTCAATAGCGGAAATGCGGCCCTCTTCAGCGGAGAGGGATGGGCGGACGGTGGTTGGGCGACGGAAAGAGGATGGATCGAGTGGAAGGAGAAGAAGGAGGGAGAGGGAGGTGTGAGCTAAAGCGAGGGCGTGGGGGTGTAGAGCGGAAAGAAGGGAAGAGTCGGAGAGCCATCCCTCGCGCTCACCAGCGCCTAGGTCTTCGAGCTCGCTGCAAGCGATGCAGCAAAGCTCGGTGAAGTGGCTCCGCCGCGCCAGGGCGGCGGGCAGAAAGAAGAAGAAGAAGAAGAGAGAGAGAGAGAGAGAGAGAGAGAGAGAGAGAGAGAGATTTGGTGCCGAATCCGAACGCTCCTATCCAATTAATGGAAATTGATTTGGAGGAGGGCGTTTCTTTTTACAACCAGAAGATATGCTCAGAGTACGTGGGGGCTGAAATAAGTAAGAAGGCGTCGAGGAAACATAACAGTTCAAAGAAGTGCTGTCATAGGAGAAGATAAATTTAGGAAAATGTAGGCTTCAACTTATCGGTAAAATTCAAATCCCTCTAAGAGTTTGAAGCATTCATATTTGTCCACATTTCTTTACAACATGGTAGGAATTAGTGCGAACAATGATATTTTGTGCGTATTTTATGCGTACTTACTGTGTATTTTGTGTGTATGTACTCCTTATTTTGTGCGTATGTACTACATATTTTGTACGTACGTACTCCGTATTTTGTGCGTATTTACTGTGTACTAACTGCGTATTTTGCGAAAGTTCGTATAGATTGTTAGACCTTATAGAACTGTCCCTTAACAAATCAAGAAGGGGGGGAGGAAGGGTGAATTTGTTATTTAAAACAAAATCTTGAATTTTGAAAAACTTTTTTTTAATCTTTCTAGAAGATTAAAAACACTAATTTTGAAATATGCAGTTATTTATAGAAATGACTTTCACGAATAATCTTTCAACCACAAATATAAATAGCAGTGAAATAAAATGCAGGAAAAATAAAAGATAACAGAAGAACACCAAATTTTGTAGATGTTCGATCCAACTAGACCTACATTCACTCCCTAGAGACTCATCTAGGTATTGCACTAAATAATAGTAACTTTCTTTTTGCCCCCACAGCAAGGCGGAGAAGTCCTTACAAACTCTCTTCCACCAACCCGGTGCAGCAAAGAATCGTCGCCTTTTACACTCTCCAAGTGATGATAACGTACATTCTCATCTTTTTTCGCCCACTAGGTGAATGCAGAGTACCTACACGTCCTTTTTTACCCTCATGGTGAAGATAGAGAACCGTCATGTCTTTTTCACCCTCCTAGTGAAGGTAGAAAACCTTGATCCAGTCTTGAAGGTATTCTCTCAAGAGATTCCAAAGAAGTTGGGAAGAAATTAGAAGAAGAACAAAGAGATCCTCACTTTGGGCAGCCTTGTGAATCCCTCATAATTCCCTTTCACTAGATCTCTCACTCTCCAATCTCAAAATCTCTCTCAAACACACTCCCAATAGTCACTCTCAGGAGAAAATTCGAAGCAAAAAAGATAGGGATGACAGTTTTGGGACTCTATTTATAGAAAACACATGAAAAATTGTTCAAAAATTGAATTTTTAAGAGAATCGTCCATGGTTTGTATTGTACGATCGAAGATCGTCCGGTACGAATAGTTCAAAAATCATGGCTTCGTTTGGTACGAACTTAGTTTCGTACACTGTGGGTCATCTATACGACTTGATATCTTACAGTACATATAGTTAAAAATGAACAAGTTTGTATGGAATGATCAGGTATGAACCTGATTTTGTACACTATGAGTCGTCTGTACAAATTGACATCGAACAATACAAACAGTTCAAAATAACTGACCATCGTTTGGTACGATATGGTACAAACCAAATTTTGTATGTTGTCTGTCATATGTACGAATTGACATCGTATAATACGAACATTTCAAAATAACTGTCTATCATTTAGTTCGATCTAATATGAACCAAATTTCATACACTGCCGGTCGTCTATATGACTGACATCATACAGTACAAATAGTTCAAAAATGAATAAGTTTGTATGGTACGATCTGGTATGAACCTGATTTTGTATACTGACAGTCATCTGTACGACTGTATATCGTACAGTACGATCAGTTAAGAAAATCAAGCTATGGCTTGAGTAACCAAATTATGGAGAAAAACTAAGTCCAATCATGCATTATGATTAGTTTTTTTAAAAAAATTTATCACTCTCCCCATGTGTGTGTATGGTTTCCCAATAATAATTACACTTGCTCAGACTTGAAAAATAAAAAAAAAGATATATAGACTCTTTTACATGAAATCATATTCTATCTTGTCTTGAAGTCTTCAACAATTTGAAGTAATATATGATTTTTGTGAAATGTTAGTACTCATAGGATCAACCAGAAATATCTAATATATGTTAGGAGAAAAATAATAAAATCATAACAATAATATTTTGTTATCATAAAAAAACACAATCTTAATCTTAATTACTGAATTGCAATAATCTCCACTTTTTTTATGATTGCAAAAATAATTATTATTTGAATAACAAATTAAAATTATTTTCTCTTAAACTCCCCTTAAATGAATGAAAACTAAAAATCATGAGGATAAATAAAATTTCATCCCTCTTTTTATTTTTAATTTTTAAAAATAAACATAAAACAAAGTATAAAGCAAAATAAACAAAAAAAAAATGCAAACACTAAAAAGACCTAAAATAAACAAGCATGACACAAAATCAAGTTCAAAAGAAAACTTCAAATAAACATAACCATAAATAACCTCCCTCTGATAGTACCAACATAGAACTAAAAAAAAAACTTCAAATCAAAAAAAAAAAAAAAAAAAAAAATACAAACCAGAAGACTTTAAACAAACACAAATAATAACCTCTCTCTTTTGACATCAACAAAAAGGAAAGACAAATAAAAAAAAAAACTTTTGAATATGAAAGTTAGTATTAATGAATTTAAAAAGCTGATAAAGAAAAGAAATTTAAAAATTTGCAAGTCTAAGATTAAATTCTTGAAACAAATACTCTTTTTAAACTCATATTTTAAAATAAAAAATAAATGAGATAAGAATAGTTGATCAAATTCGATGTTAATTCTAGAGAGTAGAATATCAAAAAGAATTATCGTTAAATTAAACAAAAACACCGATTCAAATTCAATAGTTGAACTTTATTATTAAATATATAAATTTTTCTAAGAAGTAGAGATATAGAGAAAAGAACTAGATATAGTGTTGGCTCATTTTATGCCTCTTGATCAACTATAATTGAGAATTTTTATTGTCTAAATTGCATATCTTTTGATTTTGAACTTTATTTGGCAAGCATTGCGCATCTTTCAAGTTGGGCTCATTTTGTACCTCTTTTCAAATTTGACATTCTTTGTTCATCTTGTGACATTATATTCTTTCCATAACCTAAATCAATAAATTTTAGCTTGTGTGAATATTTTTAAAATAAAAGAAAAAAAAAATCTCGTATAAGGAAAAATAAACCACAACATAAAATTATATAGATAATAATAAAAATAATAGTTTGAACAAGAAAATAAAAAGAAATAAGGTTACCTTTCTGCAATAATTATAATTATGAGACAAATGTCTTATTAGAACATCAAAAAAGATTTCCTTATCTAGATCTCATTATAATTTGATTTATAGTTAGAGTAAAGAAAAAGATTTAGTAAGGAAATAAGTTTGTGATGCAAAAATTATAAAATTGTAATTCTTTGAAAGAACATTTTAGATTAATCAGTATTAACTCATTAATTGATAATTCTAGAAAAAAAGAAATAAAAACTTAGTAATAACCAAACACACATTTTTTTAATAATACAAACTAAAAATATAAAGAAAATACAACACACTAAAAAACTAAATCAACTAAAAAGCAAGACAAGAACTAATAGCAACTAAACATACAATCATAAACTAAAAAATAAAACGTACAACAAATTGTAACTAAACTAATAATTTGGAGGATCTTGATCTTGAGGAGGCTGTGGATGACTGAATTGTGTGAAGTAGCTACTTGAGTGTTGAGAAAATCAAAGTGCCCTCTAACCCAGCCCACATCTTCGTTGTATCTGTAATCATGCTAGTCCAGATGTGTCAAAACTTGATCAAAATTTTGATCTATATGAGATTTGAGGCGATCAAATCTCTATATCATACCTTGATATAACTGTTGATTATGTCCAGGAGTAGGAGCAAGTATATGTGCGGTTCCTCCATCAAACTCTTCTCCTTCATCCCATTGCGCCCGGTGAGAAAGAATTTGAAATGAGGCATCAGTGAAATAAATAGGTAGGTTATTTGGGGGTTCAAGATGAATGAGGATGTATTTCTTTTTAAGAATGTAGGCAACCAGGTGTCTTAGAGCTACATTCTTCTTTCTTCTGGTGGCAGAGAGTCTAATATCAAACAAATTATTGTTGTAGTACAGGACCAACTAGGCTTCATCAATTTGAGTGTTTTTCAGTATACAATATGTAATGAAGGAAAACATAGGGTTAATATTGATTTGATTACCATCTTTAGGAATGATTGAAATTCTTAAGACTTGCTAAATGATCATAGCATTTTGATTCAGTGTAAAAACAAGAGGTAAATTTGAGATGGAAGGTATACCCCTAAGAATTTGATTAACAATGGTCCAACCATAATCACTTCTAGATATCATTGAATGAGGCCTAATTCCTTTAGTCCTAAGATGTAGAAAAGTCTCCAAATCTCCCTTGGTAATTTCAATATGTTGATGAAAAATGTAAGAGGTCATTATCATGTTGTTTTCTCACATTCTTAGATTGGGAAGAAAATAGTAAAAAGTCTTAGAATGAAATGCATAGATTAAAGTGTGAAAGAAAGAGAATTGAGTGGAGTTCAAAAGGGGCATGATTTGAAAACTAATGTCTTATTGAATCAGAAGATGAGAAGGGGTAATCTTAGCCTGAACAAACTTATCAAAGGCTTGTTCATTCTCCCTAGATAGAATATTTTCATCTCGTTCAAAATGAGATGATCCACCCTTGGAAGGTCATGATCATTTTCTATTGCTTGCCATTTTGAGAAAAAGTTTGAACACAAGAATTGAAAGGGACTAGAGATGAAAAGATTGAAAATTTTAAAGAACAAACTCCAATTTATAGAATTTAAACTATTTAGTACATTCGTACATATGATTTAGATCTTTGTACAGGACGATCTTTGGTTTGTACATACAAATGAAAGTGGTTAAAAATAGTTATCATTGCGAAACATCTTTTCGTAAAGCTTCTTTATGATGAGACGTTTCGTATGATATTTTGACCAAACTGATCATACATAC